TACCTCTGGGCTCTTTGTTCTATGTATCTGTAAATATTTTAGGTACAGAACAAGATCTCCTTTGAGCAAGGTAGAGAAATGGGGGGGGGGGAGAATAGTGGGCCCCTGTAGCAAGATGCTTCAGTTAACCCTTCTTCCTTCAGATCCGATTCAGGCGACTGAGGGGTGGGTCAGGCTCGTCGGCAAGTGCCAGGGGAGCCTACAGAAGAGCCTCCAGGAGAGTTACTTGCCCACTTGCTGCCCAGGCTTTCCCCGGCTTGGCCAGGCTTCCCCAGGCCTTCCCCGGCACGATTCCTCCTCCGATCCGATTCAGGCGACTGAGGGGTGGGTCAGGTTCGTCGGCAAGTGCCAAGGGAGCCTACATAAGAGCCTCCAGGAGAGCTCCTTGCTCACTTGCTGCCCAGGCTTTCCCCGGCTTGGCCAGGCTTTCCCAGGCCTTCCCAGGCCCGATTCCTGACTCAATCCCCTCATCTAAATCATCAATAAAGATGTTAAACAGGACTGGTCCCAGCACTGATCCCTGGGGGACACCACTGGTGACCGGTCGCCAGGTGGATGCAGCCTCGTTCAGCAGCACTCTCTGGGCCCGGCCCTCCAGCCAGTTCCTGACCCAGCACAGAGTGCCCCTGTCCAAGCCATGGGCTGCCAGCTCTGGGGTTCTTTTGGGCTGGGGTCGGGTGCGGGTTTTGGGGGACTGCGCACACCCTCCCCCGAGTCACAGCCCCACCCCAGCTCGCTGCACCCTGCTGCACCCCCCGCAGCCCTTGCTCAGCTGCGTGGGGATTAGTGCCTCCTCTGAAGGTGGCAAATGTCTGTAAAAAAAAGACTAAAAATAACCCTAACCCTTCGCCCCGTTCTCATGACAACAACTCCCCGTTCCCATGGCAACCCCGCCATTCCTACGCCCTTCGTGCATGCTCTGCACCCTCCACTCTCTCCCATCCCTTCCAGTTTACATTTCCTATCACCCCCTGCGGCCGGGGAGCATTCCCAGCCCTCTCCCCCCCTCCGGGACTCCATTTCCCAGCAGCTCCCGCGGCCGCAGGGGGCCGGCGCGTCCCTACGGCGGCCGGCGAGGTCCGTTCCGCGTGACGCGCGCCGTGCGCGGACGCCAAGATGGCGGACGATGAGGGCGAAGCGCGGCCGGGGGCGCGGAACGGGGCCGGGGAGGGTCCCCCGGGCGGGCCCCGCGTTGTCCGCATCGTCAAGTCCGAGTCCGGCTACGGCTTTAACGTCCGCGGGCAAGTGAGCGAGGGCGGGCAGCTGCGCAGCATCAACGGCGAGCTGTACGCGCCGCTGCAGCACGTCAGCGCCGTGCTGGGCGGAGGGGCCGCCGACCGCGCCGGGGTGCGCAAGGGGGACCGCATCCTGGAGGTGTGAGTACGAGGGGGCCGCCACCCCGCAGCCCCCCGGCCCGCACAGCCCCCCGCGGCCCTGCCCGACCCCCCCGCACAGCCCCCCGGGGCAGGAGGGACCGTCACCCCACGGACCCCCACACACTGCCCGCTTCTCTCAGAGCCCTCTACACACTGCCCGACCCTCCCGCAAACCACCAGACCCTGCCCATCTCCGCCATATACCCCCAAACCCCCCGATCTCCTCTGCACAGCCGCCCCCCAGACGCACACAGAGCCCCCAGACCCTGCCCGGGGAGGGGGCGACCGTGGGGAGCACGAGGGAGGTGATGGAGGGGGTTTTGAAGCGTGTTGGGGAGGTCCTGAGGGTACTCTGAGGGTCCCTTGGTGAGAATGTTGTGAGGAGGGGGGGATGACCCCCCCCACCCCTCACTGAGGTTTTGCGGGGGATCCTGAGGGTCCTTTGGTGAGGGTGTTGTGAGGAGCGGGAAGATGATACCCTCCCCCCCCGCCTCTCACTGAGGA